TATTACCATAACATAACCCTATTTTTTTATTGCTAGAGGTGTGGGACTAAGTCCCTTGTACTTCGGCCACTTCTGGCCTATTGTACCAGCCCCAGATGATAGGTGAGCGTGTTTGTGGAGCAATTGGTGGAATGAAGATTGGCAGGGGAAACCGAAGTACGCGGGGAAAACCTGCCCCAGCGTCACTTTGTCCACCACAAATCCCACTTGATCAGACCCGAAATTGAACCCGGGCCGACGCAGTGGGAAGCCAGCGACTAACCGCTTGAGCTATGGCGCGGCCCACAACATAACCCTATTCACTTACTCATGGTGCTGACCCCTTCTGGAGGAGCCGCCAATTCTGCAGCTGCTCAAGAATTTCCCAGCATTTTATGGAACCCGAAGGTTCATTAACGTGTTCACAAGAGCCCTCCACTGGTCCCTATCCTGAGACAGATCTATCCAATCCATACCATCCCATCCTATATCTCTAAGATATATTCTAATATTGTCCACCCACCTAAGCCTTGGTCTTTCTTATGGTCTCTTTCCTTCTGGCTTTCCCACCAATATCCTATATGCATTCATCGTCTCCCCCATTCGTGCTACATGACCTGCCCACCTCATCCTCCTTGACTTGATGATTCTAATTATACTTGGAGAAGAGTACAAGTTATGCAGTTTTCTCATCCTCCTGTCACTTCATCTCTCTTCAGTCCAAATATTCTCCTCAACATCCTGTTCTAAAACACCCTCAGTCTATGTTCCTCCCTTAACGTCAGAGACCAAGTTTCACTCCCATGCAGAACCACAGGCAAAATTATAGTTTTGTATATTCTAATTTTTATGTTTTTGGACAGCAGACGAGAAGACAAAAGGTTCTGGACTGAATGGTAGCAAGCATTACCCGAGTTCAATCGCCTCATCATAACCCTATATCAGTTTTAATTTGCCATGCATAGTATAACTTACCAAAATATACTTAATCACGAAGGGGCACGTTTTATCGTAGTTGGTTGAGACATTACGTTACAAGCCAGTAGGTCGCGAATTCGATTCCCGATGAGGTCATCAGTATTTTTAATTGACCTAATCCTTCCAGCTGCACTATGACCCTGGGATCGACTCAGTCTCTAACAAAAATGAGTACCAGGAATCTTCCTGGAAGTAAAGGGCGTCATGCACGTAAAGGTGACAACTTCACCGCCATCTATGAGCCGATTCTTTAGAAAAATGTGGCAGCCTCGACGTCCCACAACACTGTGGGCCACCACGGCCTGTTATAGGGATAGATTTACTTTTTTTTTCTTCTTTTTTGTTTTTATTAATCATGAAGAGAACAAATATCTAGGCCACTCCTTGAGAGAAGCCACTAGGCAATCAACTGGTTCATAATTACCGTTTTTCGCATAAGCCCACCCTGTTCTCTGGCCTGAGTTACATTAATCCATTCCACACCCTTCAATCCTGTTAAGATTCATTTTGACACTGCATTCTGTCTTGCTCCTCTTGGTAAATAAGTTTTATTTGCTGACTGTTCTGTTTATTTTTCAAGTCTGAAGATGGACGTATTTCGTTTCTCGAAAATGTCAAATGAATTCTACTGTCTATATGACATAATATCGCGCAAGATATCTCTTTTCAGAAAAAAAGAAACTTTCGTTTCTTTGTATTCTCCTACTTACATTTCTCTCTCGCAATATCGCAATTAACCCTAAGCGAAATATGTTACTTTTTCACAGGGCCTCATCTTCTCTGCTAACTGACGTGCAGTTCGGCAGGCCCCCTGCAGTCTTCTCGCATTACGGCGCAAAAAAAAAAGCAACCAGAAGGGATCTGGTGCAGCTGGGAACCAGCAAGTCCACTTCACGGCATTACAAACTAATGGTAATTAAAAATTCGAATTTCTTACACGATGACTGTTAAGAGCACAATAAACCCTTATTAATACGGGCCCGTATATAACAAACAAAATGTGGCATGACGTTTGGTTTCTAAATAAATTTACACGAAAATCCCCTCAATAATGGGAGTGAAGCTAACGTAATTCATTTCTTCTTTATGTGATATAAACTAAATAACTAATTTAATGGAGCTGAGTCCTTTTTGCGAAGCCGCCAGTTGTGCAGTTACTCAAGAATTTCCCATGATTTTATGGAACTCGAAGTTTCGTTCCCGTGTGTACAGCAACTTTCCACCGGTCCCTTTTCTGAGCCAGATCAATCCATGCTACCTCATCCTATCTCTCTAGGATCCTTTTCAATATTATCCACCGACCTACGTCGTGCTACATACCCTGCTGATCTCATCCTCTTTGATTGTGTAATAAAAAATGTTTTAATGTTCGGTTGTTAATTTTGTTTTATATTAAATTAAATTAAAATTTAGAGATGTTGAGACAATGAGAAGGTTTTGCCGTCATAAAACTGTTTAAAACAAAAAAATCCCCAATATAAAAAAAACTTCATTTAATCACATTGCGTGTTCGTGTGTTTACCGTGTGCTTTGGCTATGTATCCTGTGGTGTACTTCTGTGAATACCCTCACATTCGATTATAGCGTATGTCGGCAATAACGTCCCCCCCCCCCATGAATCCATTATGACGAGGGTTTACTATGTCTGGTATGTGACACCACACTATCTGGCGATAGGCACCACCGTTTCTGAGGTACATCCTACTTCCATCTTCGTGATAATAATCTGTAATTTATTTCACTACGCTATAACCAACTCAGTCTATCACTCACTCACTCATGGAGCTGTGTCCGTCTTGAGGAGCCGCCAAATCTGCAGCTACTCAAGAACTTCCCAGCATTTTATGGAACCCGAATGTTCATTACCGTGCTCACAAGAGCCCTCCAACTGTCCCTATCCTGAACCAGATCCATCCAATCCATACCATCACATCCTATCTCTCTAAAATCCATTTTAATATTGTCCACCAACTTACGCCTTGGTCTTGCCAGTGGTCTCTTTCCTTCCGGCAACCAACTCAGTTTATACTCCGTCGAATGACTGGATGACAACGAATAATGAAATTGCATTTGTTTGGCGGGGCTCAGAAAACTCACGACTGCCGTCAGAATATTCTTCACCCTGATCGAGGTAATAATTCATTACTTATATTGATCTGAGTTTTATTTAGCGAGGCGGCCAATAACTCGGGCTATAGAGTATGGAATGAGTGTATGATCTCCATGGCCAGTAGTCCGCAAGCGAACTAACCGACTGAGCGACCGCCGTTTGTCGGCGAATTTAGTGCCAACTTCTGCAGATAGAGGGTGTTACGTATTCAGCACAACGGATCCCCACGACCGTTAATTTCGGTTTTCTAGGCCGGAGCCATTATTTCCTTGAAATAGCTCCTCAATTATCCTCACGAGGCTGAGTGGACCCTGTTCCAGACCCACTGCTTCTAAGAAAATCTGGTAGTGCCTGGAGTTGAACGCGGGACCTCTTGATCTGTAGCCAAGAACTCTGACAACTAGACCACAGAGGCGGTCAATGAGTGTGTGATAATGAATAATTAATTGGAAACAATGTGGATGGAAACCATGTTAGCCTAATTTAGTGTATTATCCCGACATTTTGGTGGAGAAACTGAGCAAAATTACGACAGACACAAGTCAATGTCTGGGTGAATAAGGTTTTCGAAGAGAGTCTTTCGCCTTGAGATTTGTTTGTATGAATATTTCGCAAACCTCAGGTATTTGTTACATTTTGCTGTGGTTGATATGACTAGATCTATTATCCTTAATAGGATCAATATTGCTTTCAATTTTCCTATCATTAATATCCTTACTTCGTGCCTCTATTATTGTTCGAACTGGCTGCTAGGGTTGTCACATTTCGAAAGTGGCGCTCCAAGCTCAAAATCCCATGTGTTCGTCACGCTGTTACCAATTTCAGGAAATTAAAATAAAACTGTATAGCGGCTTTCAATAGCAAAACATGCACATCAGATTTCATAAAATATTTTCCAGCTGTTCTTGAGTTGAGACACAAGATGGAGCGCTGGACAGACTTACAAAATATTATATTCTTTCGCGCATGAATTCATGTCTTTCACATCACGGTTTCATGTTCTGTTCCCACTGTTGTCAATATCTAAATTATGTAGTCTAACTGTATGCTAATGATGATTGATTGATTGATTGATTGATCAGTAATCTGTCAGATGACAGGTCCACAGTCTCTTCCAAAACAGTTCCTCCACTTAATGTGATCTTCTGTTTTTGGAAAGAGACTATCCAGGAAAAGTGATAATGTGGTAGTTTTTCCATTTGCTTTCCACATCGCAGTACAGCAGCCGTTCAAACCATTCTGGTCACGCCTGTTGCTATACGAACTTGAACCATCTCGAGCATCATTTGTTCTGTGCTTCAAGTCGCTGCTGATGACGCTGCTTCCGGCAGCTAATGATGAATTGAAAAGAATATTGAAGAAGACTCTCATGGCATATTCGAGGAATAATGCAGGTACATTCCTGGAGGTACTGAAGAAAACAATGAAGACAGGTGCCCCCACCGAGATTCGAGTCGTTCGCCTAACGAACAGCTAGGTTAGCTTGTGTCGATCTCTTGCACGTTGTGCGAGAACACACAACAACAGCTGCAGTTGATAGAGCGTTATTGAATACGTGAGACCAGCTCATGTTCCCCCGAGGATGTGCTGTGGACTGGGTTCACAGTAGGGGGACCTTGACTTCTTGCCAGTAGATGGGACGCGCCACAGATCTGCTGCAGTAAGTCTGGGACATCCAATTGGCGGACTCAGCAGTTATGTTACATTCAGTGCGCTTACGATAATCTGCGTGATAGTTAGCCATGAAGTCCATCCGTAACACAACCGCATGATTCCTCGCATAAACAATTCAACTGCGGTATCTGTTTCACTGTGTCGTTACTGAAATTCGTCTTTCACGGTAGTTATCTGTTTGTGTTAACGCGGGTGTTTATATCGTGTGAATGTAGGCAGTGTCGTCGACGTTCCAAAGGTATACACTGCCTCCATTTTGGGGCCTAAGTGTTTAGTGTGGGGTGAGTTTTTTATATACGTTTTGTTTCGGAAGAACTTGAGGATAACGAGAAGAGGGTGGTGCTCTATGGCCTTTAAATGGGCCGTTTCTTTATTTTTATAACTTAAGAGGTGCACTGTCCGTATTCGCCCAGATGGGCCATCAACCCCCGTTCCCTCCACCCAAAGAGTTTTAGAAATAGAAACATTGATAATTTGATAGTTTGATGTTTTATATGATTCTTGCTTATTCCTGAAAGTTTGTGGTTGTGTTCAGTTAATACAATAATCATCATGCAATGAAAATGTGTGGTAGAATGGACCTCTTCTATTCTTAATCCCCTGCGGCCTCTTTTTACTCAGTATCATAGGATTATAGGCTGAGTATACCGAAAAATTCTGGACGCAGTTGGTAAGAGAGAATTTTTGCACACTTCGGGAATTGAATGGCATTTGCCCAGTCAGTAGTCACCTAGAGACCTAGTATTTTTTTTATTGCTATTGGGGTGGGACTAAGTCCCTTGTACTGCGGCCACTTGTGGCCTATTGTACCAGCCCCAGATGATAGGTGAGGGTGATTGTGGAGCAGTTGGTGAAATGAAGATTGGCAGGGGAAACCGAAGTACTTGGAGAAAACCTGCCCCAGCACCACTTTGTCCACCACAAATCCCACTTGACCAGACCCGGGATCGAATCCGGGTCGCCGCGGTGGGAAGCCAGCGACTAACCGCTTGAGCTACGGCGCGGCCTAGAGACCTAGTAACTAAGTTCCCAGGTCCAGCACAGTAGTGTCTGATAATGTACCTTTATAAAGTCCAGTAGTTACTATATGTACCACCTGCTTTAACGTACTAAAAATCAGTATTCAGCCCACAGTGTGTATTTGTGTGTTCTGTACGGCTCCCACAGTAAACAGCGATTGTCCCTCTGTTGGCCTTTGTAGCGGAAACTTAATGTGTTTCCTGTGAGGTACGAACTGAATTGTTATATATTATTTAGAAGAATTTGATTCTTTAAAGTATTGCCTAAGATTAACAAAGAATAAACTAGTAACCTTCATATTGGGTGTACCATTTGAAACGCAACCAATACTGCAATATACGCAAGCTTACAAGTGACATGTGTAGGATTCTTTTACAAGGTGCTTCCTTCTCGGTGTGCGCACTGCCAAGAGTTTCGAGTAAAGGAGGAAACGATTATGATGCTAAAGAATTTCTGAGAATGAACACATGGGCTGTTCGTGAATATATCATGCTCGTACCTGCAGAGATTTTGCGCAAATGGTGACGAAGACAGCTCAGCAATCAGGCGATATTAACTCGAGTGTCATAAGGAAAGCTAGAGAGTCAGTTCCAAAGAGAGAATACCATGAGATTTCCTTTCTGCTCCTTAATACATTACTGCTGTTTGGATTGCTTATTAGATGGTGCACCCTGTACAAGAAAAATTGAAGTCACAGATACGATCTTTATTATACGGTTATAATTAATAATAATATAAGTTACTAGTGATTCAGAAACTACGACACAATGTCCAGTTCTTGATCAGTGTTATGTTTCTGTGATTCCATAAAAAATGGCAGGAGATCCGTAGGTCATTTTTTTTTGTATGTGCGCATGTTTGCCTGCAAATGTTAATTTTGTCTTCTTAAACACACTGGCAACCTACCTTAAAGTTAAAATTCTTTTTGCTATAGAGCGTGTTTGTAGGTTTCATTGTCATTCTCAGAACAAACAGTGATTGTTTCAATGCATAGATTTAACAATTTCAATGGCTTTAATGTAGTATATTTTCTGTGAGTAGGAACTATATTTTAATATTATCATTTACATGAACTCCATATTTCAAAGCATTACAGCAAATCCTTAATGAGTAGTGGTATGGGTGATGGAGTTCCGTATGCTTATTCTATAAACACATTTTGAAGAAGGACTAGCCGTAAATGCGAGGATAATATTCACTTGCATTCTAAATGAACATGATGCCAGAAAATAGACTGTTTTCGGCACTGGATAAGGACCAGTAGCGGGAACTTGGAAGATGTCAATGAATACTCGGATTCAGCAGAATGTTGAGAATATTCTGTGTGAAGTTAAACTTCTATTAACTTCTCAAGAAGAACTGAACCCCCTGCAGCTAGTTAGTTAATCATCCTATATATATATAAGCCCCGCTCCCTCTGTTGACCCGTGGGGTTACTAAGTTCTCTAGCTGAACTGAGGGAAGAAATTACTTGATAGGCAGAACAGGGGTGAAAATTGAATAAAGTAATCTATAATTTGCTATTATGTTAATGTCCCTTTCTTTCGTTTTATGACACAATTTACATTCAAGCGTAGAGAGTGAATTTGGATTAAATTTTAAAAAAATTTAAGTGATAGCGGGTTAATATGGGATGAAAATATGAAGTTATAAGACACTCCTCTCTACGTTCCAGTTGTCTGCTAATGTCCTTCTGTTTGTTGAAAAATTATCAGGACGACATTGTCTGAAACAACTCTCATGTTACGTCATACTTTGAGTATGCAACCTTATGGAAGAAAAGTCCCTATGTTCAGCGAGATATCCGGCATTTGCGAATTTGCTTCCCACTATATGTTGAAACTGAAAATAATAAATTTCTAATGACGACATAGTCATCTACGTCACTGTCTGATGGTGGCGCTGCTGCAGAACTATTTTAGACAAGAAAAACTTGTATATATGTATGGGTGTGAAACTTGGTCTTTGACATTAAGGGAGGAACATAGACTGAGGGAGTCAAATGTATGAAGTAGACGACAGGAACAAAAATATTTACTTAAACCTAGGAATTGCGGTGGCTACTACACCGAGATGACCGTACATGAATTGCTTTCCTCTTCAGAGAGGCCATTACAGGCGTCCTTGAATGATTATTAAGGCAGTTTGTACTCCTATAGGTTTGTACGGTCGGTGTTTATATAAGCGTTTGTGTGGTTATCTTGGTGTTTGAGAACAGGGTGTTGAGGAGAATATTTGGACCGAAGCGAGATGAAGTGACAGGAAGTTCGAGAGAACTGCATAATGAAGAACTTCATAACTTGTACACTTCGCCAAGTATAATTAGAATGATCAAGTCAAGGAATATGAGATAGACATGGCATGTAGCATGAAAAGGAATGCATATAGGATATTAGTGGTGAAGTCAGAAAGAAAGATATCACTAGAAAGATTAAGACGTGGGTGTTCGGATAATATTAAAATGGCTCTTGGAGAGATATGATGGGGTGATATAGACTGGATTTCTCTGGTTCAGGATAGGAACCAATGGAAGGCTCTTGTGAACACGGTAATGCACCTTCGGGTTCCATAAAATGCTGGGAAGCTCTTGAGCAGTTGTACAACTGGCGGCTTCTCAAGAAGGACTCAGCTCCATGAAGTTAGTTACTTAATACTTGTATATGTGGCGTGACGGAACCGGTGCAGAGTAACCCTGTCTTGCTCGGTGCGGCTGCCCATTAAGTTTCCTGTAGGTTCGCATACCTTCCTGTAACCTCTCGTTTTGTACGAGGAATTTATCAATAATTACTAATGTTTGGGAAAATATTCATTTTTATATAAATACTTTTCTCCCCAGAAGAAATAACTTGCAAAATCCTCAAAAATGTTAACTCCTATCTACCATATTACACGGTGTCACATGGCATAAGGCCATAAGCTTCTTGTTGCTTAATGTGTCTCTATTCTTCCTTTATATTTAGGCATTTCTCGCTATACAATACAATCATAATAATTCTGTGGCACATTATAGTAACACAGTGCGCTGATAGAGCTCTGCACTTGCTGGTTGAAGGTAGTAAATTTTAAGTACGCCGGTAGGTGAAGGTGCCAATAATAATCTCTCTGTCGTCAACTGTCGTTTTCTTTTTCATAAAAAGTACGTACTCGCATTTTCTTTCAGTATCGGAAGTTATTATGTTGTGTTTGGATTTTGGATAGACGAAGCTCCCAGTGTACCGAAATTTCATGTAGTTGATATTTGTACTTGAGCTTTAATTCATACAGTAATTCAATTTTGCTAAAATCTGTTTATTCCACGCTTTGGTAATAATATTAAACATGATTAGATTGTGAATGAATGGATCTCCTTTTATTAGGAATATAAACTCTTCCCTGCACCTTTTTTGTGTCAATTTGGCAACTCAATATATTCAGTCATAATTATCTACAAGTTTCGAATTGGAATCACTCTACCAGAAACCCCTCGCTTTCAAATGATTAAAATTTTGGCGTATACACAAGTCCCTGTCACATTCTACCTACTATAGACACATGATTATTCTTTTTAAAGTAATTTTACAGTAACGGCTTTCTGTCAGGCGATGTCCTCTGCAGACTTTTGATTAAATAGGCACTGTCTTTGTCGACACGCAGTGCAGATAACACTGTCTCGCGCAACAAAAAGAGCAGTACAGTGATATGAGTTTCGAACAGAGGCAGTCATGCAAACCAACTTGTCAAATGTCATAAGCTCCATAGAAAAGTGCTTTTGGAAATATATGTTTTGTCCTAACACGGCTTTGGTCTACGAGCTGTACAGCCGCGGTTCAATTCCCAGCAGGGGCAAGGTCTGTTCTCCACAGCGTCCAGTACGAATCTGAGGCCCACCCAACCTCCTATTCAATAGATACCGAAGTCTCTTTCGCCAGGTATAAACCGGCCGGGACATGAAGCTGACAACTCACCTTCATCTAATGCCGAGGTCAAGAATGGAAGAGCTATAAATACACAAAGAACATGTTACTGAAAGCTAAATGACTTCAAAACTATCAAGGGTATGACCACAAATATTATTAGAAATTTTATTAACAGATCTAATTATATCAGTTAAAGAAAAAAAAGTCTCTCTTAAAAATATCAACATATTTGCAGACAGCATTTGCCGCTGAAACACACTAAAATTTGCGAGATACCTAAGATTAATAATTCAATTCAATTCAATTCAATTCTTTATTATTAATGTGCCGAGTCAACAGCCGCAAGGCCAATTACAGACACAGCA